GAAGCGCGGGAGCGCGGGCGGCGGCGGCGCTGGGAGCACAGGGCGCGGAGGGGCGCCCCCTGCTGGCTAGAGCGCGTCGCACCGCCTGGGCCTTGACGGGGTGCACGCACGCCCGGGAGCGCTGCTCAGCCAATGGCCGCCTCGCTGAAGTCCTCACCCGCCTGGTTCAAAGGACAGCAAAGATCTCGCCACCAAGGCTTTGAAGTATTAGCAGGTTTTATTTCTCTGAAACAGGTGTTCATGCACACCCCCTGCCACCCCATCCTTTTGCTTTGCTTCCCTCGATAAACCTCCCAAACTGATCATTTTCTTGAGATCCATTATCCAAAAGTCTATGGATTTACCCTATTTGCTGGAACTGTATGAAGTCAGAGAATAAGACTTAAAATCTTTGCCTTTGAGACGCTTACACTTGAAGAGACAAGGCCTACGTCCATGAAACATTAAATAATAGAATATCACAGGGCAGTCAGTTTCCAGGAAGTTCAGAGTAAAGACAGCAGATGAAATCTCAGAAAACTTTACCACACTCTATTCCAAGTGGCTGTGAGTCTTAAATTCACATGGGGTAGACTTGGTATAATATGAAACTGACCATTAATTGAGATTTCCTCAAGAAACCGTCACTGGTTTTTGTTTTGGTTTGGTTTGGTTTTTAGGTCTTTTGAGACAGGGTCTCCCTGTAGCCCCAGCTGAACTGGAACTCCCTATGTAGATCAGGTTGGCCTAGAGTTTACAAAGATCTGCCTCCCAAGTGCTGGGATTAAAGGCATGTACCACCACGCCCAACAACCTTCTTTTTAATCAGATGAGTAAGATAATGTTAAATGGCCAAATGAAATTTTCGTTATAAGGAGGCAAACTCTACTGGAAAAAAAAAAAAAAAGAAGAATTTGAGTTGCTAAACTTGAAAGAAATAGGAAGGACTAGGAAAAAAAATTCTCCTAGTAGGCTAGAAACCGAGCCTGATGTTGAGTGAATAGTTGTGGGCAGAGTGAACAAGAGGTCATTGATGAAAGGATCATTCTAGAAGCAAGCAGGAACATGGCCTACTTTAATGAGTGTAAAGAAATGCATCTTATGCTGAATTTGCTGTGGTGTCATTACTTGGCTTTTTATATAGTCTTTAATTCTATATTAATGATATTTTGTTAAAACTTAGTGGTCGTATCTCCTAAATTATGAGCATTGTATCTTTTCTTAGAATTTATATTAATAGAACACATCAGTCAAGAATGTTGTTGCTACACAGAAGGCCACATTTGGCCAAGTTTTGGAGAATAAGACTGTGGAATGTAGAATAGGACTCCTGTATGGAACCTCACCCATTTCAGAAGAGGAGGTGGAAATGTTGTAAGAGCCAGGGCTGCTTCATGATCACAGGGAGGTGGAGGCGGTGGAGGCTTCCAGACCACTGGAAGCTTGCTCATGTGAGCCTGTGGCAGCAGTAGTGTTGAGTGTGGGACCCATGTCAGCTCAATGAAACAAGGGCCCAAAGGGGAGGTAAAAAATAAGTGGTGGGCCAGCACTAGATTGAAAACTATTTGAGACTGCTGCTGGGTGAGGGAGAGTATGACTTATATAGGACCACTGGATGGACTGATTAGACTTCCATGGACACATTTACACTGAAGGACACTTGGGTATAAACTCCTGAATGACTAGGACTCAGCATGTATGGCAAGGTGCATAGGGTTCAGTGGGCAGATAGGGGGAGGCATGGATGGGGGAGGGGGGTCTGGATTTGAGGGGGAAATGTATGAAATTTTAAAAGCTCAATAAAAAAGTAGTAATTAAGATTGGAATAAAGGGAAAAAACAAAGAATTGGTACTAGACTGGAGAGATGGCACTGGCTGCTCTTTCAGAGGACCTGGGTTTGAATCCCAGCACCCACATGACAGCTAACGGCTGTCTGTAACTCCAGTTCCAGAAGATCTGACACCCCTTTCTGTCCCCACAGGCCATGCAAGACACCGGTGCACTTACGTACATGAGAGCATAACACTCATACACATAAAATGAAATAAATTTGGCACTGGAGAGATGGCTCAGCAGTTAAGAACACTGGTTATTCTTGCAGAAGACCCGGGTTTGAATCCCAGCACCCACATGGCAGCTAACAACTGTCTGCAACTCCAGTCCCAGGGGATCTGACAGCCTCTTCTGACCTCTGCAGACATTGCACGACATGGGTGCACTTACCTACATGCAGGCAATACACGCATATATACATAAAATAAAAATAATAAAGTTAAATAAATAAATAAAACAAAAAGTGATGTTGGTGCTGACAGCCTATGGCTTATAAATCTGAAATCAACAAGTACTGCCTATTTTATTTTACCGAAGTGTCTCTCTGCTTTTTTCCAATCCAGGAACATGATAATTTGAATTATGAACCTGCTGATAATTGGCCATTTTTAATAGTATTTACCACATTGGGTAGGTGTGATGAGTTGATATGGAAAGCTCTTAGTCCAGTAATTCACTTATAGTAAGGTGAAAATTATTATTATTATCATCATCATAATCTGTGGTTCTGGGAAAAAAAACCAGGGCCTTGCACATGCTAGGTAAGCATTTTCCCACTGAGCTACATCTCTAGCCTGAGAACTTGACAAACGCATAACATGAAAGCACAGCAGGCATCATGTTATATTTACATATGTAATCTCATCTGCTCTTCATAGCAACTCAGTTAAGCAACTTCTTCCTTTTTTTTTTTTTTTTGAGACAGGTTCTCCCTGTAACCCCAGCTATCCTAGAACTCACTATATAGACCAGGCTGGCCTTGAACTCACAGAGATCCCCTGCCTCTGCCTCTTGAGTGCTGAGATTAAAGGCGTGTGCCACCATGCCCGACTTAAGTAACTTCTTGATAATCCTAGCTAGTAATAATTACTGGGGTCCTGATAAAAACCTAGACCTTTGACCAGCTGTGGTAACTGTACACATCTGTAATCCCAGCACTCAGCAGGCTGAGGTAGGAATACTAGGAATATGTTTTTCATGCCTATGGAACTTAATTTATTTTATATTATACTTAATGATACCCTTGTCATACATAACACAATAGCTTTTGGGGGAAGAGAAATTCAATCTTCTGAATTTATTCTAGGTTCAAAAGTAGGGAAGACAAATCCAAAGAACTCAATTATATAGTCATTTTGAATGAGTCTTTTTTTATCTTTTGTCTAGGAAAGAGGAATATTTGTAATATTTCCTTCTTAGGAATAGTGTAAGCTTTCTTTTCAGGTGCTTTAAAATTCTTCTCAAAAGATAAAAGTAACCTAGACCCCTCAATTTTGAACTAGGGTGAAGGACAAGCTCTAAAAATGAGAACATGGGTCCTCAGGGAGAGGTGGGGAGAGGCTTTTTAGCTGACAGGTTTGGAGTGGCAGGTGCTATAAAATATCTGCACATGAACACCCATGACTAGGCCTGACACTTGTTTGTGATGGTTTTGCTTTTCTTGTCTCTCAGTGTGAAGTTGAATTCATGGTAAAAATCTCAACTGGTGTCATATACTGTAAACTCGTGATGGCCCAAAGTCCTTTTCTTTCTTTGTATGCACATTTACAAAAAACATATGATTTTAAAAGATTATATATTATTTGTAAAAATTTAAATACTGGAGACAAATATGAAAATAAATCACGAATTCATTAGAAAAAAGTTCTTCTCAAACACTATGTAAATACAAAGAGTCGCTACCATTGAGTGCTTTTCTCATTGCTCGGCCTGTAACGTGCGCCACTGCCTCCCCAATGCATGTGATCACAAAACACTATTATTTATTTATCATTTATTTATTTATCTATTGAGACAGTATTTCACTATGTAGCTCTGGCTAGCCTGGAATGCTTTGCGTAGACCAGGCTGGCCTTTGAATTCACAGATATCCACCTGCCCAGGAAGGTAATGGTGAGGAGTGATTGTATTTTATTTGTTGCTATTACAAAACCTTTTGTCTCTAGGGTGTTTATCATAGCATCTTTTAGGTCTTCTAGAGAGGAATCCTCATCTTGCCGAACCAGGAGGTCATCCATGTAATGATAAATATGTAGCCCCCTTTTTAAAAGGGATAATGATAAACATGTAGCCCCTTTTTTAAAAGGGGTGCCAGTGCATTTGCAACAGCCTCCTGGCATATTGTAGGGCTATTTGCTGTTGGGCTCCAACACATGGGGGGCCCTTGGGACCAGCCAAGAGCCTGCTGTGGCAGAACTTGCCATTCATATCGATCAGCTGGACCAGAATTGTTAATTTTTGGAACTGAGAAGGCAAAATGTTGGCAATCATTATTGTGTAAACGGATGAAGAAAAAGCATTCTTTTACATCTAAGACTAACAGGGGAGTATTAAGGGGGATGGCAGAGACCATGGGCAGGCCTCTTTGGGGTGATCCCCATATTTTCATGGTTTTATTTATGGCTCTAAGGTCCTTCAGCAGTCTCCATGTCCCTGTCTTTTTCTTTATTACAAAGAGTGGGATGTTCCATGGGCTCCTGGAGGGCCTAATGTAACCCAGCTGTAGCTATTCTTTCACAAGTTGTTGTAAAATGAGTAATTTCTCCCTGGTTAATGGCCACTGTTCCACCCAGACTGGTTCTGTGTTGGTCCAATCGAGGCAGGGAGTATGGTAATCAACAGTGGCCCTTAGAATTGGGAGTCTTGTTGTTTTAGGGACCTCATCTGATCATCTGCTTTAAGGCATTTCTCTTCAGACCCACTAGTAAGAATTACATTGAGGTCTTCCAAGATATCTCGTCCTAGGAGGTTTGTAGCAATATCTGCAATTAAGGATCTTATTGTTCCAACTTCTCCATCAGGGTCCTCCCATTTATAGAAATTTTTAGTGGTGAATGCTTGGGAGGCCCCCCTAC